TACATTTTCAAAGACCCAAACGAGAAAACTCGGGAAAAAGGACGCCACAGAATGTACCAAGGGTAGATTATAAAGAATTTTTGGAAGATTAGGAACAATTCTTTCCAAGCGATCTACCGGTTAAGCCGTTTTAGTACGTCGCCGGAGAAGTGCTGTATACTGCAACAGTTGAAAATATATGCGAAGAGACTGAGGAAATCTTCAAGACTGCAGATATACTCAGTTTTAATACAAGCACGATTAGTAAAATGAAAACGAACACGAAACCGACCACAAAGCAAAATGCCATCGCTGAAATTGTCGAATGCAGTATACTTGCATCATTTGATGATACAATAATTTCTGATGAAGATGAATAAAGAAGAACAACGGGGCCGATCGATATGTTAACGGACGAAGCTTTTGGATAAATAGATTGTATAATATATAGTAGTATTTAGACTTAAAGTATTAATTTTAGCTTAATTAATTGTTGTACTATTAAATCATTATAATGTATATATAGTTGTTAATTTATCAGTGATAGTTATGTAATTTATTATAAATTTCATACATTTAATAAATTTTAAAAACTTATAATTTCTTTTCTTTGTATTTCACTGAGTTACAGTATGCACTGTTTTTCTTATCACTGTCTAAATTTTGTAGAATACAATGTACACAATAAATATATGGGTAATAATACTTCATTAAATTTTATTATCAAACATGATTCTAAAAAAGATAATAAATCTATGAAAGGGTTTTGCGGAAGTGCTCCGATTGCGACGGGAGAGGTATTTATCGAAGCCAGGGAGTGACGAGAGCATGAGTAAAAAAAAATAGATGTTCTAGAGCTAATAGAAAGGAAAAAGTGAACAGAGTTGGTTTAGTTTAGGTTAGAAAGTGAGATTAAGTGTTAAGGAGACGGTGGGAGAGGGGGGGGGGGTGGATTTTAAATAGTAATTTTGCATATATAATACTAGTCACCATTTCAGACGTTATAAATTATAATACTATAATAAAATAATATAAATATTTACGTCTTTCAGTGTCAATAGTAGAATTATAACAGTTATTTATTTTTTCAACATTTTGGAATAAACATAAAATAAATGTATATTTAATCAGTTTTTAAAGTAGTTTTTCTTAAGTAGCTTTTTTATCAAAAAAATGACTTTAAGTACGTGTTTAATTTTTTATTACTTTTTATCCATAAACCTATTTTCAATCGGAAAGTCTATTTTTTTAAATTTATTTATATTGTTCTATACTCGCAAAAAAGGCCCGCGATTTATTATTGGTTGAATATTTACCCGTTTAATTTTATTATTGGTCACTTGATAATACGTCAACATATCAATGTATCGATATAATCGAAACAGATTTGAGGCGCGCATAGTGCGCTGTTTTAATTTTCTAGTACACACATATGGGTGTAATATAAATAAAATTAAAATAAGACAGGAACATTTCGTGTAAGTTAGGTGGGCCTGAAAAGAACTTTTTAACTGGAACGAAAAAAAAATGTTCTATGAAAAAGTCAAAACATTCAATGTCGGTAGGGTCCGCTGCGTAGACCGACCGCGCGATCGAGCCGCGCGCGTACCTATCTCATAGATGTGCGCCGCGCCGCCCGCTGCCACGCGCCGTGGCCGCCGGTGTCGCAAGCAGGGGATTGAAACACAGAACAAAATCCGTAATATCTTTGAAATGGAATGTCCGATTTCATTCATTCAATGAGTAATCTACAGGCATTGAAACAGTCTTGAATACGAAATGATTTATTTGGTTAAGGATTAATACCAAGGTACGAATAATGTAGTCTAGTTTGTCCGGCGTTACTATTACATGTTTTAACATGAAAAAGTAATTATTGTGATGTTACTGTTACAGTTAGACATATAATATTGCGGTCTTTTTTTGTAGATATTAATGTTCTCTATGAAATTTGTATATCACTTTGCTCTATTGTTAATAGTTTCAGCAGCGAACGCGGCATAAGAAATTTTTGGTATCTTTTTCACATCTTAAGTTACATTTTCGACGTTTTCGTACGAATCCTTAATTATTTAAAAAAAATTCTATAGCCTATATTGGTCAGGGTAAAGGTAGTAATGTAGTAGTGAAAGAATTATTGAAATCGATCCAGTACTTTTAGAATTTATTCATCACATACATACAAATTCTTCCTCTTCATAATAATAGTGTAGATTAATCCAAAATGACAATATAAATATGACGTATTGCCATGAGGCAATAATTAATTAATGATAACTATCAGTCTGTCAATATATTCAACACCTCTCACAGTCTTCTATTTCATTCACTCACTTTTCGTATTGTGAGATTTAAAAAATCTGTTGGTTTTCTATATTTTTTTTTACACAAACCTTGTTCTGACAATAGCGAATACAAAAAAATAAATAAAGATAATAGCACCAAAGTGGATAATTCCAATTTGGTGCAGCGGTTCTAAAGTTATGTGCGTACATGCATTTTGCCGATTCATTTTTATTTATATAGATATTTTAAAATTATCACCTTTCCTGAAACAACACTATCTAAGCATCAATTTGTATCAGTAAACATTCATAGAACGAAAACAATAACAATAATAAAGACGCCACGCCACGACACGTAACTGACTACCTGCACATAATGTCTATATAAACGGCAACCCAAATCCCTTCCACATTAGTCATACACATACTGTAACGACATTAACACCTTATTGGAAGAGCGCAAATAAAAATGGAGTCCTTTATCGACACAGAGGATCAACGGATGCATCTCGACGAAGAATGGGGAGAACCAATGGATCTCGATACAGACGAACATTTAACACCTTCGACGATGAAGCGTGTTAACTACGATACTTCGAACTTGAAGGAAACAATATTCCACTCGTCGAACTTTTTCAAAGACGCAAAAGAGACACATGCATTGAACGATCAATGGATGCGCGTTGACGAAGAATGGGGAGGACCAGTGGATTTTGAAACAAATGAAGAGTTAACACCTTCGATGATAAAGCATGTTAACTTCCATACCTTAAACTTAAAAAAGGCAATATTCAGTTCGTCGAACATTTTCGAAGTCGCAGAGAAGATGCTTCCTATGAACAATCAATGGAGGTGTCTCAAGGAAGAATGGGGAGAACCAATGGATCTCGATACAGATGAGGACATAACACCTTCAACGAGGAAACGTCTTAACTGCGATAATACGGACTTGAAAGAGACGACATTCAACTCGTCGTACATTTTCAAAGACCCAAACGAGAAAACTCGGGAAAAAGGACGCCACAGAATGTACCAAGGGTAGATTCTAAAGAATTTCTGGAAGATTGGGAACAATTAATTCCAAGCGATCTACCGGTTAAGCCGTTTTATTACGTCGCCGGAGAAGTGCTGTCTGCTGGAATAGTTGAAAATATATGCGAAGAGATTGATGAAATCTTCACGACTGCAGATATACTCAGTTTTAATACAAGCACGATTAGTAAAATGAAAACGAACACGAAACCGACCACAAAGCAAAATGCCATCGCTGAAATTGTCGAATGCAGTATACTTGCATCATTTGATGATACAATAATTTCTGATGAAGATGAATAAAGAAGAACAACGGGGCCGATCGATATGTTAAAGGACGAAGCTTTCGGATAAATAGATTGTATAATGTATAGTAGTATTTAGACTTAATGTATTAATTTTAGCTTAATTATTTGTTGTACTATTAAATGATTATAATGTATATATAGATGTTACTCGTAATTTATCAGTGATAGTTATGTAATTTATTATAAATTTGATACATTTAATAAATTTTAAAAACTTATAATTTCTTTTCTTTGTATTTCACTGAGTTACAGTATGCACTGTTTTTCTTATCACTGTCAAAATTTTGTAGAATACAATGTACGCAATAAATATATGGGTAATAATACTTCATTAAATTTTATTGTCAAATGAGATTTCAAAAAAGACGATTCTTTCTCCATCAGATACAGTTCATTTAAAATTACTGGCATCTGCAAAAACCTCGATGAGAGGTCTTCCCCGGAAAATAGTGAGACCCCTACTTGACATAAATTTCTTATTGGTGTAACGTAGGGAATGTAATTATTATTAATAATAATGTAATTGTTAATTTTATTGGACGATATTGAATATGTACCTACACACATTTATTGATTTGACTTGATAATTTTTCGAGAATTATTTTTTTTATTATTCTCTTCTTTTCATTTAAGAGTTTTCTCTTGTCGGTGCAACTAATTCATGCATCTTCTTCCAGCCAGCTCTATCCCAGGCCATATCCTTAATCTCCCTATACGACATGACACCTAGTGTTTCCTTTATCTGTCCCATGTAGTTATTCCTCGGTCTTCCTCTTTCTCTTTTGCCCTCTATTTTTCCTTCTACTATGCTAATTATTCTATAATCTTAATAATCACCAAGTTAAATTTGTATCCTTATTTAAACAAGAAATTAGATTTGCATGCCTACAATTGTAAGGTAATTAAACCGATGCCAAAATGTTCTGTCACATGGCCCTTATAATGTCAAATGTTTGTTTAAAGCAAATAAATATTTCATTTCATTTCACATAGTTAAAAATATTAAAAAGAAAATTTTAATATTTTATCATAACATATCAATTAATTGTAAAAATAACTAAAATATTTATAATTATTAATTTTATAATTAAAAAACATATGTATTTTACAATAAAATAAAGATTATGGTTAATTATCAAATAAAGTGTTTATTTATCTATCTATCTATTTTATTAATTGTATTATTTGTTGATAAGTTTTAATATTATAAACATCCCATTTAGGATACTCGTATGTGTGAGGACACATTTTATTCTGATAAGAAACGCTGAGTATTATAAATCACTCGCAACTCTGTAAAACAATGTGGGTAGTTAACATTATTGTATAAAAGCGATAAAACACTCAGTTGCGCTGCTACCGTCACGAAGTACACATCGTTTGCGTTGTTATGTAATGACTGTTATGTTATGACTAATATGTTGTGCTATGACTGTTATGTTGTGACTAATAAGTCTTTTGCTAAAATGCTAGTTGATAAGTAATATATTGATAGTTGATAAGTAATGACTAACAAGTCTTTGTTACGATAAGTAATGTTTATCTGTAATGTTTATCTATATTTTGGAATGTCTATTTGTATTTGTAAGTACAATGTAATCGCTAACTAAGAAGCCTTTGCCAAAAGCTCCTCTCTGATAAAATACCACTGTCATGAAATCATACACCATTAGCCTTTGTTACAATACCATTAGCTGATGAGTAATATTTATCTGTATTCGCAATTGTGTACCATGAGCATCATGTTATCATTAGTCGAGAACCCCTCTCCGATAAACTCACCTTATATAAATACTGCCTCAAATCAGTTCGAGGACAGTTCCATTTCCGAATTCATATTGTAAACATCTAATTGTACTATTTCTGTGTAAAGTAATAAAGCTAGTTTTAAAAAAACAAATCTTATCATTCGCCACGTAACAAATTTGGCGCAGTCGGTAGGATCTCGCATAAGACGAAGTGCAACGTGCAGTTGATCATCGGGACAGCATCGCCCAGCAGAGCAACGCGCGGTAGCTACAGGCTTTTGAAACACTTCGCCGAACATGCAGCTCCAAATACTTGTATTGTTATGGTGAGTGGTTTGAATTTGTTCGCTCTCTAAATCCTTTAAATCGCATCTATCCTAATTCTTTTTATATATATATTTATTTTTCTTTTCTTTCCTATATACCTTTCTAATGCCACTAGAAATAAAAAACGAAAGAATGGCTCTAGATATCTCTACATTATTAAAATTAATTCCGACGTTTGACACCAAAGAAAATAACCAACTATATAGATTTGTTCGATCTTGCAATTCTGCCTTTGCTTTAGCCTCTTTAGAACAAGAATCAATCCTCTTAGTATACGTTTTAAATAACATCACTGGCTCAGGTGCCTCCGATGTCCATTGTAAACAATACAAAACATGGATTGAGCTCAGATCGTTCCTTATCGAAAAATTCTCGCATGTAAAAACGATTAGCCATCTAAGCCTAGAACTACAGTCTATGTTCCAAAAACCAAACGAAACAATGACTGAATATTTTCACCGGGTAGACCTCTGTAGGAGTAAAATCGTAGAAAAACTAACAGCGGAAATTTTAGATGAGACGCTCGCAGGTCGGTTAGCGACCACAGAAGAAACCGCCTTATCGGTATTTATCAACGGAATTAATTCAGACGTAGGAGCAATGCTGAGAACTAAAAACTTTAGTAATCTCTCCGACGCAGGTCGTTTCGCGCTACAGGAAGACAAAATTCGAGCAATGAATAATGCTAGGCAGGCACTATTTAGAGTATCAGCCGCTAGTAGGACTGTTAATAGTCCTAGACCGCACGTAAAATTTACGATTGACAATCGATCGATGACGCGACCTCCTAATATATACCAACAGAATACATCAAAAACGCCATCATATCAAAACGTTATTTGCAATTACTGTAAGAAACCAGGCCACCTCATCGCCGATTGTAGGAAACGAGCATATAATAATAATATCAGAAACTCGTTACAAGAACAGAATATATCGCCCCAACAAAATTTCCGTGCATTACCTGCCGCCAAAATAAATAATTTAAACCATTTAGCGGCCAGCGAAGCGAGCAGTTCGGTGGAAACCGCTTTAACGTCTTGCTCACCTCATCAAACACAGACATCGACCCAGGAATTAAACCTGGAGGACCTACAAATAGATTCTTAGAAAATAATCAAATTTCGAGGAAGTTTAACGCTTATACGCCGCATTCAGTCCATCGGGGACCGGCTAGTACTAGCTCCATAGTTAAAAATAATCAGGTACGGAACATGTCCTGTTATCAAAAACGATTTTGTGACGCTAGTACGCAAACGAGTAAACTTCCTAACTTTCATCATATTCATCAAAATTCGAATTCTAAATCTTCCATATCTACTCAAACTCACGAAATCATTATAGCCGAAACTAACGGACAGGGTAACCAGCCCCAAACCCTAGGCTTTACACAAAATCCTAAATCCACTAGTATCGATAATTCTAACTCTACAATATTCACTAAATCCAGTCGCAAATCAAAATCTAGGTCGAAAGACAAATCTAAATCCTTGAAAAGAAAAACTCATATCAAATCGTTCGCTATATCTGCATTAAATGACGTGCCACCTGAAAATCTACTACACTGTACTTTTTTCATTAAAGAAACACCCGTCACTCTCTTAATAGACACGGGAGCAGGAATCTCAGTTATCAGAGACGATAAAATAGGTTCAATTGCTTTGGATAAATCCAACATCGTGTCAATTGTAGGTATCTCTAGCACCCAAACTTCGACAATCACATCAGGAACTGCCAACATATCCCTAGATGATTTACCTGAATTCAAATTCCACGTCGCCAACCTTAATATAAAAGCAGACGGTATTCTGGGAAACGACTTCATGACTAAATTTAATTGTAACATTTTTATTCAATCCAAAACGATGAGAATAGGCAGTAAATCGTATAAACTTCATTATATGGGCGAATATCCTGAAAATAATACTATCACTGATAAACGAATAATTAGTAGTCGAACAGAAACCGTAATTACGTGTAACACAAATAGTATCAACTCTGGGACAGCAATAGTCGAAAAACAAACTATAAGCAATGGCGTTATTATTCCTCACGCTATAGTCAACGTTCGAAACAATACATTTTCAATTACTTGTATAAACACTAATAATTCCGATAAAGTCATTAAAACACCAAATATCGAAGTCCAGCCTATTAACATTGACGAATTAACAAAAAATAACAATAGTCAACCACTTCATAATTTTAACTCGATATCGCAGACCGACAGACAAAAGAAAGTATTGTCCCTTATCAGACGAGACCATTTAAATAAAGAAGAGTCAACATCATTAGATAAAATTATTTCTGAATACAGTGACATATTTTTCCTAGAAGGTGACTCATTGTCATTCAGTAACCATACAAAGCATCAAATCCCTACTACCACTAACGTACCCATTCATGCCAAAACATATCGCTTACCTCAAGTTCACGAAAATGAAATAAAGACCCAAGTAAAGAACATGCTAGACCAGGATATCATTAGACCTAGCAATTCCCCTTGGAGTAGCCCTATTTGGGTAGTACCTAAGAAACTAGATGCTTCCGGGAAACAAAAATGGCGTTTAGTCATAGATTATCGTAAATTAAACGAAGTCACAGTGGGTGATAGTTATCCCCTTCCTAACATTACGGACATACTAGATAAATTAGGACACTCCCAATACTTCACTACGTTAGACCTCGCATCAGGATTCCACCAACTGGAAGTCGACCCCAATGACATCTCTAAAACAGCTTTCAGTACCCCTTACGGCCATTACGAATACAAACGAATGCCTTTCGGGTTAAAAAACGCCCCAGCTACGTTTCAACGAGTAATGGACTCTGTATTATGTGGATTACAAGGAGAAAGATGTTTTGTCTATCTCGACGATATCGTTATCTTTGCCTCTAGCCTCCAAGAACACGAACAAAAACTTCAAGAAGTATTCTCTCGTCTCCGCAAATATCATCTTAAAGTACAACCTGACAAATGCGAATTTCTTAGACGCGAAGTAGCCTATCTAGGTCACATAATATCCAATGAAGGCGTCAAACCGAATCCAGATAAAGTACGTGTTGTTCGAGATTTTCCTATTCCTAAGTCTTGTAAAGATATTAAAGCGTTCCTAGGCCTCACAGGATACTACCGTCGATTCATATCTAACTTCAGTAAACTAACAAAGCCTCTTACGAGCCTGTTAAAAAAGGACGTGCCTTTCGTATGGGGTACGACCCAACAAAATTCATTTGACGAATGTAAACGTCTCCTTACCAATCCTCCTATATTACAATATCCCGATTTCGCTAAGGAATTTATTCTAACCACAGATGCTTCGATTAACGCAATAGGTGCCGTCTTATCTCAAGGCGAAATAGGTAAAGACTTACCTATCGCATACGCCTCGCGCACTCTTAATAAGGCCGAAAGTAACTATTCGACAATTGAACGCGAGTTACTGGCAATTGTTTGGGCTGTTAAACATTTTAGACCTTATCTATTTGGTCGAAAGTTTAAAATCGTGACTGACCATAAGCCCCTAACATGGCTTTTTTCTATTAAAGACCCGGGCAGTCGTTTAGTTCGCTGGCGCCTTAAACTTGAAGAATACGAGTACGAAGTTATCTATAAAGCGGGTAAAAACAATACTAACGCGGACGCACTCTCACGACCTCCTATTCATAACACCAATGTTATCGATAATACTGAAAACGAACCTCCTAACACATGCGAAAACATTCCTGAAGATTATTTACAAATGAATTACGAATACTTCATGCAAAATTCCTCATATAGTTTCGACACTCCAAACCTTCATATTTCCTCAGATCGCCTCTTAGACGACCGTCACAAAAACATATTTATACCCTCTTCATGCGAACTATCCGATAAAAACGACCTTTTTAACGAAGCTATCTCTATGTGTTCTCAAGTAGATCCATATTTAAATAAAGTCAAAGAACTCTATGACGTCGATCTCCTAGTCTCAGACAAGAACCAGAACATCATATTTGGTTGTTTAAGACCTACACACTTTGACTCATGGGACTCCGAAAGTTATTTCAAAATTCTCCTTAACTGCTTACAAAATTACAGTTTAAAATCACTTCACATTCCTGACTTAAAAAATGACCCTACTTGTAAACTCAAGGGCAACGAACAACTCCACATCACAGCTTATCTTGCTGATGTATACGAGTGTAAGATTACTATATGTGAAAATAAGGTTAAAAATCCCACATCAGAGGAAATTCCCGAGATCCTGAAAACTTTCCATGATGACCCCTTAGCAGGTCACAGAGGCATAGTAGAAACTACGCGTAAAATTAGAACCGAATATTTCTGGAAAGGAATGTCCGATACTATTAAGAATTATATAGAAAATTGTCAAGTTTGCCAACGAAGTAAAATCCAAAGAAAAACCTACAAAGCCCCTATGGTTATCACTTCTTCTTTCAACGAACCATTTGAACGCGTAACAATCGATTTAGTGTCATACTCAGAAGTAACCAATGATTCAAATAAATACATACTCACGCTACAAGATGATCTGACTAGATTCGTTCAAGCCTATCCTATAATAGACAAACAAGCAACAACGATAGCTAAAGCCTTATTGACCTTCTGTCAACACTACGGCATACCCAAAAGATTCCATTCAGACCAAGGCACTGAGTTTGTTAACAACGTCGTTAAACAACTTATGAAATTACTCGGATCCAATCATACTGTCAGCACTGCTTACCATCCGCAGACGAACGGTGCTCTCGAACGTTTCCACGCTACTCTGCGTGACCATATAAGAATGTACCATAAGCGAAATCAATCAAATTGGGATCAAATAATACCCTTTGCTGTTATGTGCCATAATACATCAATTAATCAATCAACCGGTCTCACACCTCACGAACTACTATTCGGTTACAAACCTCGATCATTATATTCGTTTAAAGAAAACAACGATTACACAACGCATGATTATTTGCGCGATCTTAACGAACGACTTAAGGTGTCACGAGATATTGCCCGTCGCAACGTACAAAATATGAAAGAAAAAGCTAAAGAACGTTATGATGGTAATATAAGGAATATAGCCAAGTTCAGTATAGGCGACAAGGTTATGTTGAAAGTACCGAATCCAAACAATTTGGAAAATAAATGGGATGGTCCTTACGTCGTAACCCGACTCGGATTCAATGAGAATTACGTCATACAAAAGTCAGGCAAAAATCAAATGGTGCATGCTAATCGCCTAAGGCCATTGTGTGAACCAACTACCGAAAAACTATAACTTTTAATTTTAGATTAAGGTACTAAAGTAAGTCAGAGTATACATATATATATATATAAGTTATTCATTTTATTTCAGGGTGCAAACCATGGCACACCCTACAACCTCTCCCGTAGTATATGACGAGGATAGTCTAAAGAAAAAATTAGAACGTTTAATGAATAATCCATATATTAGTTTCGTAATATGTTCTATCATTAAATTAATCTTTTACGTTATCTTATATAAAATATATAAATTTATTAAAGGAAAACTATACAAATAATAACCTTAAAAATATATATATATCTTTACAGGTACTCCTCAACTTTTGTTGAAGGGGATACCCGAATACTACCCATACCTTCAAAATCAGGTCTCTATTTTGAAGAAAACGGAGAAATTCTAATCTCTGAAAATTCGTGGAAATTATTAGTGTATAGAGACTTAGAACCACTATTTTTAACTCATGATTCTATAAAAAGACTCACACAAAATTATCAAAATCTCGTCGCTAGACACACGACACTACCGAGCGTAATTACGACAAGTTCTTTCATCAAAGCCAGTCTAAACAAAATAGACTCCAGATTAAGCGAATTAAACTACTATACCGCAGGTAGCTTAAATAACAAACGTAGTAAACGTGAACTTATAGACGGTGTAAGCTCAATATTAAAATGGCTTATCGGAACACCTGACGCCAAAGATGCGAAACACTACAATGAATGTATCGAACAGTTAGAAAGACAACAGATTTCGACTGACGCAATCCTAAGACAACAACTACAGATAATCTCTTCGACAATTAAAAATTTTAACGAAACCTTACTGAAAATCTCTTACGACGAACATTTAATCAACGAAAACATTGCTAAAGTTAATTCTTATTTTAATACCACGAACAAATTAATTTTCAACCTTACCATTTCTGAAGAAATATCCACGCTAGCGATACAAATACTAGAGTCAGTAACATCATTAGAAAAAGACATTGACGACATAATAATAAGCATTTTGTTCATTAAATCAGGAGCCATTCACCCTTCGATTATATCAATTAACCGTCTATATAAAGAATTATTATCCTCAAGTCCCGCTAGAGTGAATAAAAATCTAGTAGCTCCTATAAAGCTATCAAACATACATCAAATCCTCGAATCTGCTTCGATTACATCTTATATCTATATGAATAAAATTATATATATTTTAGAATTCCCTTTAGTTAGAAACGATAGGTTTACCTTATATCACATATACTCTATTCCTATTCTGCATCCCTCATCAACCTTATATTCCACGATCCTCCCAGAGCAAACATTTCTTGCCATGAACAGTAACAGACAGCAATACGTCACAATGAACGACTTGGGAAAATGTAAGAACTTTGTTACGGAAACAAAAGTCTGCAACGATCTCCCAGTATATAACGTGAACACCAGGCCTACCTGTGAAACTGCCATACTTACGACAACAAGACAAGACGTGCCAGAAATTTGTCAAGTTACTACGTTTTCGGCGAATATTAACACACTGCAACCCATCAGAAACAATAAATGGATCTACATCTTACAACATACAACGCCGTATACCCTAGAATGTAAAGATGAAACAAACCACGGTGAAATCTCCGGAGCCGGCATCATATCATTGGAAAATGGCTGTAAAATGTACACTGCCTTCGTTACACTACTAGCTGAAGAAAATCTATCGACAAATATTAGTCACCCTATTGTCACCGTAGATCTGGAACAAATCTGCATTCCTGAAAACTTAAATATTAGAGAACCAGAACTTCTTCCAATAAAATTGAATAACATAGCGTTGGACTCTCTCAACACCATAAAGGAACAAATAAATCAACACTCTAAACTATTAAAAGATAATCAAGCTACTTTTGTTGAAAAATATTCCACAAAACTCTCAATTTCCAGCATAGCTATTGGGTTAGCCATGCTAACGTGTTTGTGTTATAAGTGTCACAAGAGACGTTTTCAATTCACCACAACACAACGTAGAGATGGCTGCATCCAGATTTTTAATAACTGCTTCGATCGCTCTCAACGCCGTCAACACATCGAAATTCCCATGGCATCATTGGAACCGAGAACGACGTCGTGTATATCCGAAGATGAAAGCGATGACGTCGCCACTCCACACCTTCATCAAAGATCGAGTAACAAAACTCAATCTTTATTCTAAGAGGGGAGGTGTTATGTAATGACTGTTATGTTATGACTAATATGTTGTGCTATGACTGTTATGTTGTGACTAATAAGTCTTTTGCTAAAATGCTAGTTGATAAGTAATATATTGATAGTTGATAAGTAATGACTAACAAGTCTTTGTTACGATAAGTAATGTTTATCTGTAATGTTTATCTATATTTTGGAATGTCTATTTGTATTTGTAAGTACAATGTAATCGCTAACTAAGAAGCCTTTGCCAAAAGCTCCTCTCTGATAAAATACCACTGTCATGAAATCATACACCATTAGCCTTTGTTACAATACCATTAGCTGATGAGTAATATTTATCTGTATTCGCAATTGTGTACCATGAGCATCATGTTATCATTAGTCGAGAACCCCTCTCCGATAAACTCACCTTATATAAATACTGCCTCAAATCAGTTCGAGGACAGTTCCATTTCCGAATTCATATTGTAAACATCTAATTGTACTATTTCTGTGTAAAGTAATAAAGCTAGTTTTAAAAAAACAAATCTTATCATTCGCCACGTAACAGCGTGTAAGAAACGAAAGCAAGATGGCATCTATTTTTCTGGACACAGATGAAATACTGTCTAATAGTGAACAATGGTCTCGACTTGAAGAAGAATGGGGCCAGCCCATAGATCTGGATATGGAAGAGGAATTGACTCGAGAAGATTCCAGTATTTTAAATTTTGGACCGACTGCAGCCAACTCTTGCATCGCAATTGAGCATCTTCTAGAAGAACCCACTGAAGACTATAATGAATTTGTTAAAAATTTTAATCAATTCTCTGGACAATTTAACAATGACAGAAAGTATGATCTTTCGTCGATGTCACCTTTAGTCGATGTCATGGCTGACGAAGTTGATAGTATGTTTGAATCCATTGAAATATTGGCATGTTTTGATAAAAAACAGCAGCGGAGAACACTGTACACAACGCGCAATGGACAACATAAATCTGAGAGGAAAGAATCTAGGAAAGACAACGTAAACTTGTCCACAAGTGATGTTTCGGAGGAATTAGCAAGAGAATCGAATATAAATCGGCGCGGAGGAAATTTATTTATTCGTAAATCGCAAACGATAACAGAGCTTGTCAAGAAATTTAGCTTAGCACTGTACAGGCCGGCTGTCGAACGTAAATCCAGAAGGCCAAGACACTTTGTTAATGTTATCGAGATTTGGAAGAATTAGCCGTCTCGTTTTTAGATTTAGATAATGGACTTTCTTGTAAACTGACTGATTCATATATTTTATTGACATTGTTAAAAGTACAAAAAAAAAATGTAAAAAAAAAAATGCTAATTTACGGTAGTAAGTTACAACAGTACAAGCATTTACTTAAATAATATTACAATACAACTAAACGAAACTAAGTACATGTTATAGTAGGGAGCATACAGATGGCGGTGTACAAAAAAAAAGTTTTTTTTTTTTTAATTGACGGTATGCGCGTAAAACGGAAACAACTGATATATTACATGACCATATGTCATAAGTCACTAGAGTTTAAACTAAATAATTGATGACGTATAATATCTTTTTTTCTTTTCTGTTAAATTTAAATTAAAAGTAAATATGTACATGTTAAAATTGTGTTATGACTTAATATAAAAAATATGTTGTAAATAACAATGATATTTATTTATTCGCATACCTGTATTAATTGATGTTAGCGATAAGCACCGGGTTTCTGATCTTGTTTTATAATACGCGACAGAGTCCTAGCGGGAATCTTCATTTCTCGTAATAACATTTTTTGCTTCCTAATGAGGTTTCGACGAATTCTGGCTTTAATAGCATTAACACCCTTTGTAGTTCGAACAGCACGCGGCCGCCCCGATCTTTTCTGGTCTTCGACAGAGGAAGTGTTGTTGCATCTGTTGATAGTACGATAAACGAATACACGGCTGATACCAAGCTTTTGAAGTGTCTGGAATATGACCGACGGCTCCGTACTCGCATTGTACAAGGCGATCACTGCAATCCTATTTTCTTTAACACTCCATTCCATATGTAATTTTATAATGAACACGGAAATATATGTGAAATGGCGCGAAATCGAAAGAAGTTTTTATTTTTATTTTATATCAATAGGTACACATTACAGAGAATTAACAATGTTACATTAATTTATACAGTACAATAATGTTTTGTTAAAGCTAACCCTCCAAAAATATGCGTACACAGCGTGATCAAAACGTAAACACACGGCTAAACAAGTCTGTAAACACAATATAATTTATACAACAAAAAAATTAACTTATACACTAACAATTATAAAGGTAAACATACAAACACATGAATAATCTTTTTTTTTTTAAACAAAAAAACGTGTTCCAAATTCAAAATAATTAAAAAGTTAAAAAAAAAAGAATAGTTTTTATGTAACAGTATTTATGGCCAGACTAGTTAGATAGTTTCCATACAAATGATTCGAGAAAAGCGAGTCAACTTTTTCATACAATTTTGCGTGATTGATTCTTTTATAACTTCTATATTTATTTTGTCTTATAATTTCTGAGTCGTTTTAACGCGTAAACACTCATTTTATTTATTAAATAATACGTCAAGATACATTGTATGCGTAAGTATATAGAACACTGACAAACAAAACGACTCAGAATATATATATATTACTTATACTTTTAACCTGCTCTTGAAAATATTAAGGGATTGAATTTCGCGAATATGTATACATATATATGTATAATATAATAACTATAATAAATAACTGACAGATATATTCAGGTATAAAAACATTTGTATTGTAGGAAAGTATAAAGTGCGTCTCTCTCTCTCTCTCTGTGTGTGTGTGGGGGGGGGGGGGAGGGTACGTGCGCGTGCGTTTAAGTAAAAGAAATAAAATTAAACATTTTATATATATATGAAGAAATACGAATGGGACAATGGTGCCAAAGTAAACGACTTTTGTACAAAGTCTACCTTTGCTATGTCCAAGTAGTAGTAAAAAAAAAATGACAAAATACTTAAATTTCTTCATTGCATGTAAAAGGTCTTCATAACTATATTTTTCTGGGGGGAAAGGGATTGTCAGCAATGCATTGCCATTGCTAGCAATATGCCCTATTAGGTCGACCACCATGTGGTTCCTCCTAGAAACCATCGTCAACAATTCTTATTGAATTCGTCACGATGGGCTAACTGACCTGCTTCATCCTCACCTATTACCCTTCACTGGTGCCCCGCCGGTGTATACCGATAGCGCAGGTGGGGTAATCATTTCATTGTCATCCATAAAAAAAACTATATTTTTCTCTATCACATTGTTGGTCGCGCTCATTCCGTCGGTTTTAGCGTAACGTTGCAACAAAGTGTCACAAAGTAAACATCAGCTGTTTACTAAAACCACTGATATTTTAATATTAAAAATCATAATTTAATTACCAATGTGAATGCGTTTAGACACTTATTAAAAGGTTAAGCACTTCCCATCACACTTCAAACAGGCTTTGGAATGTCAAATTTTTGTAACATCTTTACGCGCCTGTTTATTTTATTTTATTTAGCACTTTATTGTTCCAGAAACCAAAATATATTTTGACAATGGAATAATTCAAGTAAAATACAGTAACATAAATACAGATTGAAATATATACATATACATAAATGTTATAAAGAGGAAAGATTTGTATTTTGGTGTGTATGTTTGTAATGAATAAACTCAAAAATTACCATTCACTATTAGAAAGTTACATTCACCCTGAGTAACATAGGATATATTTATTGCAAGAAAAGATTAGGGATCCTTACTAAAACTTTAGTAACGTAACTCGAGGTGTAAAAAAAAATGCTATAAAATATCTTTCGTCGCGTGCGCTGCGGAAACTATTGATGATGAACAAAAGTATGTTCTGCAATATTGAAGAAAATATCAATAACTATAAAGAACTTTGCGATACTATATGACTGACTATTATCGTTGTGTCACAATAACCACTTTATAAAATGTTGTAAAAATGTGCACCCGTGGGCCGCTAATATTATATATACATAAAGGTACAAAAGGCAGTCTTATCGCTAGGGCAATCTCTTAATTATTTATTTAAATATCTTATCTTATCTTTATTTAATTATCTAATTATCTTATCTTAAAAACAAAACTTAATGTCAGCTATTCACCAACTACAAATGTATGTATTATAATAGCTTACCACGTTTAAAAGTTAATCACCTTATTTACAACACTTTTCTTTGTTTACACTACTCGTATTTACACCAAATTGTTGCACTAAACCACTTTATTTTTAATACAAATAAATAAATAGACAGATAAATAATTTATTTGCATCACTTACAGCACACAAACAGCAACACACACAAATGCACAGTGAATAAAAAGATTAAAAAACATTAAAATACATGTACAAAAAAAACGTTTAAAAACAAAAACAAAATCAAAATGCATAACTAATTTTATGTAACTTTTTTTTCTTCATGCGTTTTCCATAGTAATACAAAATGGCCACAACTCAGTTTATTGCTTTGCCCTAAAAAGAGCAAAACACTGATATTCTGTTGTGGCCAAAAGTGAGCCGTGAAATTCCACTGAAAAAAAAATAATAAAAAAAAAAGAAAGAAATATAGATACATTGTGTGCGTTCGTTATATTAGCTATTTAGAAGAAGGGTAGTCAGAAGTCAATTTCAAATGTACGCGTGTATACGTAATTTCTTTGCACTTTCAATAACGACTTTGTTTTACTCTTTTTTTCTGTTAAATGTATGCGTGATTCGCGGTTTTTATTAATTCACATTTGAAATAGCATATCCAGTTTCGCCATAAATTTTTCACATGACCGCATAAAAAGTCCAGTGGAGTTGAGGATCATTGGTTACCCTTATTGATCATCTCTTACTATAAGTCGCAGCATACATATATATATATATATATATATATATATATATATATATATATATATATATATATATATATATATATATATATATATATATATATATATATAGATTTATTGTTATAGTTATATTGTTATAAAATAGTTAAATGATGATTTTATACAACTTAGAATGACAAACAAGCTGACGGCCCACCTGATGGAAAGTGGTAACCGTCGCCTATAGACATGAGCATATATCATGGACATAACAGAGTATACAGTTTCGCCCATGATATCCCCCATGCGTTGCCATTCCTGAGGACTCAGGTGTTATTCCTCTGTACCTTGTAAATTCACGCCATATCCCACCCTTCAAACCGAAACACAGCCATGCAAACACAACTGCTTTATGATTGAAACACGAATGGGAACTACCAACCTTACCAAAACGAATCTTAGTTATCTGTAAAGTCTGAAATATTAATTACTCTACAAGCCCAACTCATTATATTCCACTTTAAGTAATAGGTAATTTAGCGATGTAATGACATTGTTTGTTTTTCTTTAAATATTGTATTTATTATGCATTATTCATAAATATTAATATATCATTAACCATATCGAAAGCATCAAAGATAACATAAATGACAATTGCTGTAATTACCTTACCAAACAATATTCGACTTTACAATAATAATATAATAACAAATTAACTAATTAACTGTGTTTACATACCACTTACACAAGTTTACTAGTTTCATTTTCACATCAAATTCAAGAATACTTTAGACTCGTTAACACACTTTTGTGCAGTGGCGTTGGAAAATGGCGTTGGATCTGTTTTACTTGGGCCTGTTTGACTTAGAGGCGATTCTTTCTAGAAACGAATATTGGGCCCTGCTTGGAGAACTGTGGGGGACCCCAGTAGACCTCGACTCGGAGGATGAGTACTTGACGGAACCATCAAATTCAAAAATAGACTACGTTTCTTTGGATTCGCGGAAGACAACATTCTGTTCTCCTTTGTTTTTGTGTAAAAGAACAAAACAGGTGGAGAGTACGTCAGTGAATGAATTCACATGTGATTATAACGAGTTCCTTCAAGATTTAAAATCGTTGGTTCCCAACGACGTACGTACTAAACAGTCGTATAATGGAAATGGCAATGGTGAAGTTTTATCAGCGGCATCTCTTGAAGATATATGTAAACAAATTGATGAACTTTTTGAGTCGATTGAAGCGATTTATAGTGATTCTACTACGATCCATGAAGATAAAATAACAAGTGATGAGAGTGAAATTATTGATAAATATCCAGAAGCTATTAGCTTGATTCATCAAGATAATAAATTGAAAGAAAAAGAGGCAAATACTGATATAACTCAACAGTGTAATACAATGGATTTTAAAAATCTATCAGTTGAAGACACATTTGATTTTGGAGAGGAAATATCTGATACAGATGAAATAAATGCTTTCCAAGATGAGGATATT